TGCCTGCGTGCAATAGTCTATTCATGCAGTTCTTCATGCACAGGTGATCTGACATCAGAATGAAATTCAACAGGTATTGTTGAATTCAGTAGTGCAAAGCAACATGTTTTAATATACAAAGAATATCTATAACTTTCACTACAGCATGAATGGACTACTGTAGGTACAAAGCAGTACCTAAACTAAATGTTTAGAAAGCCATTTTGCCAACACACCAACACTTTATTCTTCTAATGAGTCCTGAATATTTTTGATATGTCCCAGAGACAGGACCTCCACTGTACACCTCTATCCTCCCACCAGAAGGTTACATCTCTAGGAGTACAATGCATCAAAATTTTGACTGCGCACTGGGGAAAGAAAATTTCACCCTCTTTATTAATTCAAAAAGCTCTCTGCTCTTTCTCTTTCCTTGGTGTCTCCAGTTTTCAAATCGAAACAGACCTAATATGACCCACTCATGGGGTTGCAGCACAAAGTAGAGTCACAACAAGTCTTCTGACTTTCTCAGTAAGTTTACTGAATTAACCTGTTCTTCTGTGGTCAGACATGCAGCAAGAAGAAAACCTCAGCTTTAATTTGTGAGAGCTTAGACTTACTGAGTGCTGTGCATCTTTTCTTAGTCAGCGATGAAAAAGTCTTCAAGAATCCTGCCATTCTGATGGCAAAGCAGGATCCCTTGAATGTTTTTACCTCGGCTGACTAAAATTCACAACTGACAGGATGGCCAGCATACAAGCTGGAGTTCTCTGTCTTGTGACTGGTTTCCTGTGTGACTTGACACAAGCATCCATGCTGTACTTCCACAGCATTCAAAAAAGTGCAACAGCATGGTTTAATTTCTGAGAAAGATGATCGGCTTCACACGGGTTCCGAGATATATGGGACCACGGGGCTCTGAATAGTTCAGTGGGCTTTATCCCCACATCACTCATAGAGATGGGCTGACATCCTATTTGCCATTTGTTTGCTGGAATGCCTTCTCATGATGTACTTTTGTTTGTATTCTGCTGAAATCAGCAGAATCACTCTTAATCCTGCATTGATACGTGTATGAAAGTTAACAGTCTGTTCACTGGGCATATTATGGAGGGAATATGTGTGGCTCTGTATTTAAATAACTTAGAAAAATGAAAACAAAACAACAACAACAACAACAACAAAACAAAACAAAACCAATCCTAGGAACACTGAAGATAAGCACGCAGGATGGAATTTATAAAGATGCAGAGTGCTTGCCAAGCACAGATAGATGCAGATTTATTGGTAGGTGGAAGAAGTCAGCAGAATGATAATAAGCAGATTTTGTCAATTAGAAGAAGGAGGCAAACACACAGGCTGTAACAATGCCTTGCTGGTGCAATACTCAATTTTTAGTCTGCACAATGCACCTCTTCCCATTTCATTTTCTTTAAAGCAAGGCCAACTTTGGACTGAGCACTTAGCTCAGTACTGAGCCCGTTTCAAAATGACACTCCAAAACTTATACTTTAAAACATATCCAAATGGACTGAATTTTATTTAATGCTATTTTAAAGGTATTTCTCTCATTAATACAGAACAACAGATATAGATTGCTTTGTACTCTGTAGAGTCTTTAGGTGTCTAAATATGGATAGATAAGATCAGGATCCTACACCTAGTGAGAAAAGAAAAGAAAAGGTAAATATTACCATGCTTTCTTCCCAGAATGGAAGCAGTCTGGACAAAACCTACAATTTTCAAGTGCAAAGGCATTTTTTGTCATTCTTGGGCCTTGTCTCTTTTGTTGTCTCCCTCAGTACCAAATGGTGCTTCAAAAACTACAACGTGTCATTCTCAGTCTAGCAATGAGATGAAAATATGGATAAAGCTCATCCTTCTTGGCCAGGAGAGAAGGGCAGACTCAAATCTGTTATAGAAAAAAGCTAGTTTCTTGTTAATGGTAGACTTGTGCAGCCAGATTTGCTCTTTAGCAGCTTGTGACGTAACCGTGCCTTAGAGCAGATTACATTCAGCATCGGAAAGGAATCCATAAAGTGCAATTCAAGAAGTGCACTTAGGCATATGCTTAAAGTTCAACTTCTGCATTACTGCACTAAGGTTCAGCAATTCTCATTTCAGTTGCTTCATTAAATGCTAATCTAAATAGATATAAAAGCACGCACAATCATGAATAAGCCGGAATCTTTTAACTTTTCCTCTCCTTTGTGTGACCGGCCAAACAAAGCGCAATAAAACTAATGAAAGCCAGGTAACTACCACTGCTGCTGTTACCACACCCCTATCAAAAACTAACTAATTTCCTCAGTCCAGAGGCAGAGATTCCAGTGATTATTTCTAACACTGATATTTGTTCAAATACTTTCTACAGTTGTCATACACTTACATGAAACTCCAGTTACCTGTGCTACAGCTGGTATGTCTTTACAAGCTTTTCCATAAAGGCTCCCCCAGAAAATGAAGACCTGGCATTTTTTAATCACTATAAAGATACCACTACCCCTCTGCAGCTGCAAAAAGCTTTTGACTATTGGCTAGGATTTTTTTTTTAAGGGTTTACAAGTCTCTGCAAGACTGTGTTTTAAACCCATTACTATCTTCTGATAATCATGCTGTACATGTTTATTCTACATCCGAAAAAGAGACAGTATTTAATTACCAGGACAACACTCTGTGGTCCTAAATGAAGCAATTGAAGTGGAAATCCTAAATGAATGGACTATTTAAAAAAATTGAATTTGGTCTATTTAATAGACTGACTAAAGTACCTCTATGGCATAGTCATCATGCTTTTGTTACCCAAGCAAACAGAAAAGACAAACACTGGGACAAAAGTCAATTTTATAAATGGCAAAATGGAGGAACAGAGATACAGAAGTGACATGTCCAAAGTTACACAAGAACTGACTACAGATTTCTTGTTATCTATTTCTGCGTCAATCACAAAAGACACATCCCTTCTAGAGAGTGTTCCTGCAAAGCAGTACCTTGATGGTCACACCTTCTGGAATACCACAGATTCATTTGAATAGAATGAGACAGAACAAGGGAATATAATGGCAATGTACACATAAATGTGTATTTTAACCTTTTTTCTAATTTTTTTTATTAGAAAATGTGAAAATTGTGATGTTACTGATGAGTCATCAACCTTGGAGGTATTTAAAAGATATGTAGATGTGGCACTTAAGGACGTGGTTTAGTGGTGGACTTGGCAGTCCTGGGGTTATGGTTGTACTCGATGATCTCAGAAGTCTTTTCAAACCTAAATGGTTCTGTGATTCTACTTGCCATTAAACTGAGAAGAGCTAAAAAACCCCAGCATGATTCACAACTCGCCCACATGACAGTTTCTGTTTTATTTTGGAAGCCTACAAAACTCCTTCTCTAGTCACAAGGTCTCTTTTGCCTCATTCTGCTTAAGGATCATTTTAAACTTAAATCAATACGATGCTATTTTAATCATGGATATTCTACTATATTGATAGAATAATTCTGCTGCTGAGAACTGCGAGTGTTGCTTCATACATTTAGGCCATGTTCAAACAGAGTTGCTGGGCCAGTAAATATACCTTAAGAGGGGCTGACGTTAGCCAATGTGACACCTATCTAGAAGAAGGACAGGATGGAGGATCTGGGAAACTACAGGCCTATCAGCCTGACCTCAGTGCCAGGGAAGGTTATGGAACAGATCATCTTGAGTGTGATCACACAGCACGTGCAGAACAATCAGGGGATCTGGCCCAATCAGCATGGGTTTGGGGAGGGCAGATTCTGATTGACCAACCTGATCTTCTTCTAAGACAAAGTGATCCACTTAGTGCACGAGGGAAAAACTGTGGATTTAATCCACCTGGACCTTTGATTCTGTCTCCCACAGTATTCTCCTGGGGAAAATGGCTGCTCATAGCTTGGATTTGTGCACTGTTCTCTGGGTAGTAAACTGGATGGATGGCAGAGCCCAGAGAGGGGTGGTGAATGGTGCTACCTTGGCTTGGCAGTTGGTCACTAGTGGTGTTCCCCAGGGCTCAGTATTTGGACAAGTCCTGTGTAATATATTTATTAATGACCTGGATGAGGGCATTGAGTGCCTCTTCAGCCAGTTTGTAGATGACACCAAGTTGAGTGGGAACGTTGACATGCTGAGGGTAGGAAGGCTCTGCAGAGGGACCTGGATAGGCTGGATCAGTGGCCAAGGCCAAGGGTATGAGGTTCAACAAGGCCAAGTGCCAGATCCTTGGGTGATAACAACCCCATGCAGCACTACAGGCTGGGGGCAGAGGGGCTGGAAAACTGCCCAGCACAGAAGGCCAACAGCTGAACATGGGCCAGGATGGCCGAGAAGGCCAATGGCATCCTGGCTTGTGTCAGCAAAAGCGTGGCCAGCAGGACCAGGTAGGTGATGGTTCTCCTGTACTCAGCACTGGTAAACTGCAACTCGAGTTCTGTGTCCAGTTCTGGGCCCCTCAGCTCAGGAAAACATTGAGGCGCTGGAGCATGTCCAGAGAAGGGCAATGGAATAGGTGAAGGGTCTGGAGCACAAATCCTACAAGGAGCAGCTGAGGGAGCTGGGGGTGTTTATCCTGGGGAAAAAGTAGGCTCAGAGGTGACCTTATCGCCCTCTACAACCACCTGAGAGGGGGCTGTAGCCAGGTGTGTGGGGGGGTCGGTCTCATCTCCAGGTATCAAGAGACGGCCTCATGCTGCGCAGAGCACGCCTTCACCGGGCAGCGCCGCTGTCCCGCGGGGGGCTGAGGGGTGGGCGAGCTCGAGGGCTGAGCACGGCCCTGGACGCCAACCCCCTACATACCCCAGCCCCGGGCCCGCCGCGGGCCGGGAGCAGACCCGGCACGGAGACATGGCGGCACCGGAAGGGGGGGGGGCGAGCCGGGGGGCGGGGCTGGGGGCGGGGCCAGTGGGCGGACCGGGACCCCCCGCGCCGCAGTGCCTGGCCCCGCCCCCCAGAGACCCCGCCCCCGCGCAGGCCCCGCCCCTCCCGGAGCCGCCGCGGGCTGAGGGGGAGGAGGAGGAGGAAGAGGATGAGGGGGCGCCGCGGCGGCGCTTGTGTTGGTGCTTGTGCTGCTTGTGCTGCAGCCGCGCTCGCCTGAGCGGGCCCCGCGCTCCCTCCGTGCCGGCCTCGCACCGCGCCGCCGCCCCCGGGGGCGGGGGGAGTCGCGGCGAGTGGATGCCCGGCGGGCACCGCCGGGGCACAGACCCGCGGACGCCATGGGCTGCTGCAGCTCCGCCGCGCAGGTGAGCGGCCCGGCCCCCCCCTCCCTTCCCCTGCCCTCCTCCGCACCCCCGCCCCGGGGCCGCCCCTGGCGCTGTCCTGTGGCTGCGCAGCCCCTCGTCCCCCCCCGCTCTGTGCCGGCCGTGCATCCCCTCGTACCCCTGGCTGCCCGCCTTCCCCGTGGCTGCACCGCCTCGCTGCCTCCCGCTCTCCCGTGGCAGCGCATCCCCTGCTACACCTGTAGCGCCCTTCTCCCGTGGCTGCGCGCCCGCTGCATCCCGACCTGTGACCATACTCTCCCACGGCTGGGAACCCTTTGCTTTTCCCTCCCCCACTCTCACCCCACCGACAGCTCTGCTCTCCCGTGGCTGTAACCCCTTCCCCCCCCCC